AGTGGTCTGTGTCACATCCCAACGATATGATTTTGGCTGGATGTCACGATGGAGTGGTAATGTTTATTTTATACACAAGCTTTGTTAGTAGGGTACTATACTTGCTTTAGTTCTTGAAGAGAACAAAATGAAAATATAAAGAGAAGATAAAAGCACTTTAAATATCTCTTTGTTCAATTCCCTTAAATGGTTTCTTGTTGAACATATTAAATGATTGGTGGTGCTATTTTTCTCAAATCTGCTTTTTACTTTTCTCTATGAGGCTTGTATTTCGTTTCTGACGTCTGGAAATGCAGGTTGCTTTGTGGAAATTTTCAGTTACTGATTCATCTACAGGTATTGGAACTGAAGTATTCATATTTCACCTATGTGTTGTTTGTCTATTTTGGATGTAGTTGGTGTATCCATTACTACCACGATAATGATGGTTTTATATGCTCTTTTCTTCAGAGACCAGACCTATGCTTTGCTTCAGTGCAGAAACATGTCCAATCAGAACCCTGGCATGGGCACCGATTCAAAGGTTGTATTTCTGCATGAATTAATCCCCTTTACTTCATTGTAGTTATGTTGTTAAAACCTCTGCTTTAGCTCTCATTGCATTAGACTGTGTATTATTCACGAGTTACCAGTCTTTGGTCAATACTCTCCCCTACATAGAATTTGTTATGAAGTTCTCCTCGATAGAATTCGTTTTATCTTTATAATGATGGAGACTCACCTGCTTCTAATACTGGCCACTGTAGATTATAATTAATGCGTATCTCTGCCAAATCTAGGAACTATCAACACTCTTATTACCAAATACAACTGGGTAGTTACTTTCAATTGGCCTTTTCACTTTTAATGTAGGAAACTTTGCATCTGATCCAAGTTTAGTGTATACCATATCCACCATAAAGATCTTGTGAGAATGACATTGGTAAATCAGATATCTGAAAGCTATCTCACTGTGCTAATATCTATTAAACAAAATAAAAAATCTATGTTTGTGCTATCATTATTATTGTCATATGAAACAACAAACAAGAGTCTTATTGAATATTCCTATTTATTATTTAATTACCGCTTGGAGTATATGCTAATTCAGATTGTTTAAGATTGCAGTGATCAAGAGACTACATATGTGTTTGTTGCTGCCAGTAATAAAGGTCTCAAGTTTTGGGACATACGGTATGCACGATTCTGGGAGGCATACTTTATATCTGCGTGATCTCTTACTATTTGTCTTTGTCTTTTGGATTCGCATACGCCATAGTAAATTAATTGAACTTATATGTGAAGATTTTATCTGATGCAATGCTTAATTGTTACTTGCTAGTTGGTAAAACCTGCAATTCAAGCTTCAAATTTGCATATTGACTTAGAAGTGGATAAAGCCGTCAGATTATTGTTATTTTGATAAATAGAGAGAAAGTTATGTCATGCAGCCCACAATCAACTGTGTGATAAGTTTGAACCAGCTGTGATATTATATATTGATATAAGCATATTGATATAAGCGGACAGTGGTTTAAAAGTTATAATTAATGTGATTTTGAAGGCATCTTCCTATAGATCTGTGTGTTGAAATCTCTGTTAATTCCAAATAGTTGTGTTCAAGATAAATCCCTTAAGGTGATGTCCATTTTTGTGAATCAATCAAAACTGGACTAGTCAAATACAATATTCATTCTATCCATCACTGCTATATATTTTCTCATTTCCTGCTTATATCCCAGTGATCCATTTCGTCCACTGCGGGACTCTTCTATTCAGGGGGGCTGCATTTTTGATGTGGATTGGCTGCCTCATCTGAGGTATAAATTATGTAAATATGGGATGATCTCCATCTCCCTTTTTTTTTTATTTATTTCTTTTTAATCACGGCCTGACTGTACTCTGCATCATTGTTCTTGTAGATGTGTTTGTGGAGTCAATGATGATGGGACATTCTGGCTTCTCAACTTTGAGAAAGCCGCACAGGATATTCCGGTTACTGGAAAATGCTTGAAGGCATCAAGGCCGGTGTTGAGCAGTTATGACTGTTCCTCATTCTCAATATGGAGCCTCCAAGTTTCTCGCCTGACAGGTCAGTACAATTCTTTTTTTTTTTTTTTTCTTTTTTGAAAATATTGAAGTTTTTTCTCACTCCTTCCAATCATCTTCAACATTAGGTGCAGTTGCTTATTGTGGTGAAGAAGGATCAGCCTTTTGCTTCCAGGTGAACATTAAAATTATCTGTATATTTTTCTGTCTATTTACACGTTTATTGAGTCTGTAAAACAGGCATCTCGAAGTTCATCTTATGTAATATATAGCTGGCATTGGATACCAACTTTGATTTGAACGCGTGATTTTAGTTGAAATCTTTTTATAGGATTTCCAATTGTAATGAAGTAAAAAAATAAAAGTAGAAAATGACTCGTATTGTTCCATTTCAAAGAATGCTAAGCCTTTGGATGTCCTGATGTGATCTACTTTTGTTTTAAGCAGCCGACGAGTAAATCAGTGAAGGATACACGAAACCGCGTGCATCATTATCTTTGTGGGTCGTTATTCGAAGAGGGAACTGCCCTTGTTGTAGCAACTCCATCGACTAATAGCTCGGTTTTGAAAAGAATCCCAGGCACGAAACGTCCTGGGGGAGCAGCAGCAAAAGATCATGAGAGCAGAGTGAAGGATCAAATTGGTAAAACTCCACAACACGTCATTGTTTACGTTTCTATATGTGATTGCGCAATTTCATTTTTCTTTGGATTGCATATTTAAAATTCTTTATCAATTGACAGTTATTTCTGGAAACAATCCTGTTGAAGAGCATGGATCTGAACAAAACTCTGATAAAAGTAAACCCGATTTTGAAATATTCCCTCCGAAAATTGTGGCGATGCATAGGGTGAGGTGGAACATGAACAAAGGCAGTGAAAAGTGGTTGTGCTATGGAGGAGCTGCCGGTGTCCTACGCTGTCATCAGGTCGATTTATCCCTTCTTCAGTAACTATTGTGGGTCCACACAATTTGTTGTACTGTAGTCACTAAGAAGGTCCTTGTTTTGCCCTTTTAGTATTCATTTTTTTTTATTTTTTATTTTTCCCGAGGCTAACCTGGCCACCAAAGTGATGACGACATTAGTTGCTGTATTCAGATACTGTTGATTTATTCAATGTAAATTTTCCAATAAGAAACTTGAGTTGTAGTCTTTTAGTTTAGGACACCTTAGTGTGCTCCTCCCAGTCTTCCGGTTGCGTCCTCGTTTGTACATACTTTCTTTGAGTTGTAAAATCTGCTGTTTCTTAAAAAAAAAAAACTTCATTTCCCCGCCTTTAGTAGCGGGGATGAGGTGGAGTGCCTTGAGCGATAAACGAGAGTAGCTTTGTGTGATGCTCATGTCGTGTGATTAAAGATTGATTTCACCCTTCAAGTTCCCAAAAGGGAGGAAGTGAAGTGTTGTATATGAGTTTGTTGCAGGAGTTTGATTCCTATCTTTTTTGTTCCAATTACCCTGCAGATTTTGTATAGGAGTTTTCTTTTGTGGCTAGGTTAGTAGCCGGTTGGAAGTGGAGAATGTTACTCCTCTGTGAATGTTAGCAATCAGTAGGTTGTAAAAGGTTTGAGCTTTATATAATATAATGATCGTTTGAAAAAAAAAAAAGAAGTGTTGTATATGAGAAGTTTGGGATTTTGTTCCATGGTTTTAGAAGATATGGCTACTTCTGTGCACAGTTTATATGACTTGGTTTGTTAAGAGCTAAATCTGAAGAAGTTATTTAATGTGATGATGCTTGAAAATGTGAACTATAAAAGCACATACATAAAACATTAAATGGTTTAATGCACCAAATCCCATATTCATCATTCATCTCTTCCGCTTTTATGAGAGGATGAAAAAAAGTTTATTTTTTTTTTTCAAACGACAAACGATAAAATCTATTAACTCAAAATGACACACTGGTACCCAACTGGGTACAATATTCAAACGTTACAACATAAAGTGAGCAACATCGAAATACAACGAGTCAACTATTGTTCCCTTCAAGAGCCTTCATCGCCATGTCCAAACTAACTTTCCAAACCAAATCAACAAAGAAAAACGAAACTAAGAACAAAGAAAGAAAATCAAATGCATCATCCCCATCAGAATCCACATGCTTCTTCCACTTGTCGAGTGTGTCAACAACCTTCTTGCAGTGAAGGATGAGGTGATGTTCTTCAAGAGATGCTTTGTTGCCTTCATTAAGACCCACAAGACTGCTATGGTGTTGGCCTCTACTGAACCCCCGGAGAAGTCCTTAGATGAAACCCACACATGCTCAGTCTTCAACTCCCTGCACTCTTCCCCCAAACCCGGCAGATCCTCCACTAATGGCCAAAGGCTAACTGTTATGATGAAGTGAACATCATTCCCTGAGTCCACCACCCTAACTGATCTCTCAGCTCAACAATCTCCCTTCTTCTCAT